CTTAGAGCAGCGGTTCTCAACCTTCCTAATGCCGCGACCCCTTAATACAGTTCCTCATGTTGTGGTGACCCCCAACCATAAAATTATTTTCGTAGCTACTCTATAACTGTAATTTTGCTACTGTTATGAATCGTACTGTAAGTATCTTTTTGTTTTCAGATGGTCTTAGGTGACCCCTGTGAAAGGGTCATTCGACCCCCAAAGGAGTCGCGACCCACAGGTTGAGAACCGCTGCCTTAGACTATAGTCTGAGCTCCCTTGTACCCTCCACCCTCTGATGTACTCACCTGGATAAAGTCTAACTTTGGGTGATCTCAACTGTTTCATTCTCCACGTCTGAAACCAAGCACTAACTGTGGCTGAAGAAAAAAGAATGCACAATCATACAGATTGGTTTCATTCTTAATTTCTGACCTTACCCTCAAATAAGGCTCTCAATGCTGCCGCTTTTTTCTGAATGAGTTCATTTTCCTACTCAAAAATCATCATTTGATACCATCAAACCTCAGCTCACCCTCCTTTCTCAGGAGCTGCCATTGCCTTCATTGAGAAAACAAACCATCGCAGAGAAGCTCCGTCTGCCTACCACTAAATCTACAAACCCCTCGGCACTGGACTCATCTTCTCTTGCTATAAATAAGTCTTATAAAAACCCAAGACTTCAATACATGCTTCAGAGCCATCCTCCCTCATCTTTTCAAGGACTTAACTCCTTTGTTCTTTCTCTCTCTTACATCATCCGTTTCTCCCTAGCTAAGGGATCATTCGCATCAGCATAGACGTGCTCTAGTTATTTCCCATCCTCAACAAGCAAACAAAATATTTCCTTTGACAGCTTTCCATCAGTTAAAATGCTCAAGTGAGTCTCAAAGTGTGGCTCCTAGACTGGCAGACTTGCTATTACCTGGGAACTTACAAGAAATGCAGATTCTCAGCTGCTACCCCAGACCTACTGAATCAGAAACTTTGCAGTGGGTCCATAATCTGTATTTTATCAAGCCTCCCACATAACTGTAACACACACAGGAGCCTGAGAACCACTAAACAATACCTCTGCTGCTCCATGGACCAGCAGCACTGGTATTATCTGGGAGCTTTTTACAAAAGCAGAATCTCGGGCCCCAGATTAGAACCTATAGGGTTGTTGGAAAAGTCATGATGTATTTTGTCTATGTTTTTCAAAGGTCATTTATTTATATAAAGAACAAAGATCAATCAATGATATATTGCCCGTTTTGTTCAATAACCTCTTGCCATCTTTCAGTGAGCTTCATAATTCCTTGTTCATAGAAGGACCTGTCTTTATTTGCGAAAAACTGAACAAGATGCTGATTTACAGCCTCATCTGAATTGAACGTTATTACCACGCAAGGAGTTTTGAAGACAGCGAAACAAGTGGAAGTCTGACGGTGCAGGGTCAGGCGAGTATGGTGGGTGTGGCAACACATCCCATCCAAGCTCCAATAATTTCTGACGGGTGACCAAACTTGTGTGTGGTCTCGCATTGTTGCACTGGAACACAACTCCTTTACAATTAACGAGCTCTGGACATTTCTGGATGATGGATTCGTTCAAACTGTCCAATTGCCGACAGTACACATTCGAATTGATTGTTTAGTTCCTTGGTAGGAGCTCGAAAAACACAACACCTTTAAAATCCCACCACACTGAGAGCATAACTTTCCTCTGATGAATGTCTGCTTTCAATGTCGTTTGAGGCGAATCATCACATCAGGACCAAGACCGTTTACGCACCACATTGTTGTAAACAATCCACTTCTCATCACCAGTTAACAGTCGCTTTAAAAAGAATCATTTTCCTCACGTTTAATGAGCATATTGCAGATGTTTCTACGTGCCGTCAAATGAACTTCTTTGAGTTCATGCGGAACCCAAATAGTGAGCTTGCTTATGTATCCCAGCTTCTTCAGATGGTCGTGAATGTTTGAATGATGGATGTTCAGTGCTTCTGCAATCTCTCTTGTCGTGGAATGTGGGTTTTACTCGATCAATGCCTTTACTTTGTCGTCATCAACCTCAGTGGGCCTCCCTGACCAAGGAGCGTCGTTGAGATCAAAATCACCAGCACGGAATTTCGTGAACCATTGTTGGCACTCACGTTCTTGTAGAGCATTGTCACCGTAAACTTAATGCAACTTTTCACAAGCTTGATGTGCATTCTTCCCTTTATGGAAGTAAAACAGTAAAATATGGCAAAAATGC